TACTGTGGAGGAGACCTCCACAACTCGGCTCTCATTTGCTGAAATGCTTAAAAAGAGCCCTGAAGCTAGGTCTGCAGTTAGGGAAGTTACCATGGAAGTGGCTTCCTCTCAGGAAGCAGCTAGATGTACTAGCCGGCTGATAGGGAGAAGATGAGCAGTAGTAGTAGCAGGCATTAAAGAGCAAACAGGGACCAGCCCAAAGGAACAGAGAGACAAGGACAAAAACATAATTACTGAGATCCTTAAAGAGATAAGGATGGAGGAAACTGACCAAAATGTTGAAAAGGTTTTCAGGCTTGGAAAGTACAACAAGAACAGAGACCGAATGATAAAGATAGTATTCATGAGCGAAATCATGAAAGAGGAACAGTTAGCAAGGAAGAGCTGTCTAGCAAATTAACAGAAGTTCAAAAAAGTATTCCTGCAGCGGGATATGACAAGGGAAGAGAGAAAGCAGGCAGCAGACTCGAGGAAGGAGCGCAGGGAGAGAGAAAGAAATCAGAGAACTACAACCTCGAACCTTTTAATCCCAGAGGAGAGTGGGGAACCCTCCTCAAACAGTGCACTAGCCACAGGGAGTGCGGCACCACCCCCACACTCTACCCAACAGACACCCTACCTGCCCCATCCCCCTTCAGCCCCCCACTAAGTAACCACCTAGGGCACCCTCCCCCCACCCTCCCCCCACCCACGCCCCTCCTCCCACTTACCCCCCTCCTCCCACTCACCCCTCTCCCTAGGGCCTCCCTTCTCCCCCGATCCCCCAAGCCCTCCCTTTCCCCACATGCCCTTCCTCCTCTCCCACCCCCAAGCCATCTGTCTTCTCCCACCCCAACTCTCCCCACCATACCTTAGTCTTCCCCTCTCCACCACTCCCCTAAAACCCTCCCCTCTTCCTCACCCACCTCAGCCTTCCTTTTCCCCCACACCCCCCCAAACCCTGCCCCTTTCTGTCCCCCCCCGAATCCCCCAAAGCCTCTCCTCCCCGGATGCTCCCCAACCCTCCCCCTCTCCCCCCCAACCCTCCCCCTCTCCCCCCCAACCTCCCTTTCTCACTCTCCCCCCAACCCTCCCTCTCTCACTCTCCCCCCCTACCCCTCCCCCCTCTCACCCCCTCTAACCTCCCCCTCTCCCCCACCCCCTTAGCCCTTCCTCCTCCAACCAGTCTCCCCGTACCAGATCCTCCAGCTCCCACTCACTCCAGATCCTACAGGTCCCCCCTCAGAGTAGAAGCAGAAAAGAGTCAGTTTCAGGGTCATGTACTCGAACATAGATGGGATCACAAGCAAGACAAGTGAACTAAGGGAAAGAGCACAAGAAGTGAACCCAGATGTAATCGGACTCACTGAAACAAAACTCTCTGGAATCATAATGAATGCCATGTTTCCCCAGGAGTACACAGTAATAAGGAAAGAGAGGGAAGGTAGGGGTGGAGGTGGAGTGGCCCTACTCATGAGAAAGGAATGGAGGTTCAAGGATATGGCTATCCCGGGCTGTGAGGAGTTTAGAGACTACATAGCAGGCACCATGACAATGGGAGGACCAAGAAAAGTAGTAGCAGTAATAAATAACCCTCTACCAAATGACAGAAGACCCAGTCAAGAGTATGAAAACAACAACATGGCAGTTAACACTATAATTGAGAGGGCAGCCTCTACTGCCTGTAGATATAGATCCCACCTGCTCATCATGAGGGACTTCCGAGCGGACAGCACGCTGGACCTGATCCTGTGGTCCCGGGGTCGATCCCGGGCGCCGGCGAGAAACAATGGGCAGAGTTTCTTTCGCCCTATGCCCCTGTTACCTAGCAGTAAAATAGGTACCTAGGTGTTAGTCAGCTGTCACGGGCTGCTTCCTGGGGGTGGAGGCCTGGTCGAGGACCGGGCCGCGGGGACACTAAAAAAAAAGCCCCGAAATCATCTCAAGATAACCTCAAGATAAAGGTCTCAGATTGGCGAGACGTTATGAGTGGAGTCCCGCAGGAGTCGGTCCTTGGACTTATACTGTTTCTGATATATGTAAATGATCTCCCAGAGGGTATAGAATCGTTTCTCTCAATGTTTGCCGATGATGTAAAAATTATGAGGTGGATTGAAACTGAGGATGATAGTAGGAGGCTATAAGATGACCTAGACAGACTGAGTGAATGGTCCAACAAACAGGTGTTGAAGTTCCTCCCGAGTAAATGCAAAGTAATGAAACTAGGCAGTGGAAACAGGAGGCCAGACACAGGGTACAGAATAGGAGATGAAGTTCTTTATGAAACAGACAGAGAGAAAGATCTAAGAGTTGATATCACACCAAACCTGTCTCCTGAAGCCCACATAAAAAGAATAACGTTCGCGGCATATGCGAGGCTGGCTAACATCAGAACAGCGTTCAGGAACCTGTGTAAGGAATCATTCAGAATCTTGTACACCACATATGTAAGACCAATCCTGGAGTATGCGGCCCCAGCATGGAGCCCGTACCTTGTCAAGCACAAGACGAAGCTGGAAAAAGTCCAAAGGTAGACTAGTCCTAGAACTAAGAGGCATGAGTTACGAGGAAAGGCTGCGGGAATGCACCTAACGACACTGGAAGACAGAAGAGTAAGGGGAGACATGATCACAACCTACAAGATCCTCATGGGAATCGACCGGGTATACAAGGATAAACTATTCATCACTGGTGGGACGCGAACAAGGGGACACAGGTGGAAACTGAGTACCCACATGAGCCACATAGACGTTAGAAGGAACTTTTTCAGTGTCAGAGTAGTTAACGGATGGAATGCATTAGGCAGTGATGTGGTGGAGGCTGACTCCATACACAGTTTAAAATGTAGATATGATAGAGCCCAGTAGGCTCAGGAACCTGTACACCAGTTGATAGGCGGGACCAAAGAGCCAAAGCTCAACCCCCGCAAGCACAAATAGGTGAGTACACACACACACAGGAAGCAGCCCATAGTAGCTGTCTAACTCCCAGGTACCTATTTACTGCTAGGTAACAGGCGCATCAGGTTTAAAGAAACTCTGCCATCTGTCTCCGCCGGGTGCTGGGATCGAACCCCTGTCCCTAGGTTCACGAGTCTAGAGCGCTGTCCACTAAACCACCCAGCCCCTGTCTTTCTGTCTGTCTGTCTGTTTGTCTCTCTTTCACAATCAGCCTATATCTTCCTTTCAGAGTCGTTGTCTATTTCTTTCTCTGTCTCTCTGTCTCTTTTTCTTTCTGCCTGTCTCTCTCTTTCCCTCTCTCTACCTGTTTATCTCTTTCTCTCTCTCTATCTGTTTATATCTCTCTCCTTTCTTCTCACTCCATCTTGGTCTATCTCCTTCTTTCGCTGTCTCTGTCCTTCTCTCTCAGTCACATCTTCCGTCACTGTTTTCCTTGTTCCCTCTCTATCTCAGTCTCTCTTGTGCAATCTCTGTTTATCTCCATTCATTTTCTATGTCCTCCTCCTCTCTCTTACACTATCATCGTTTCTCTCTGTATCTATCCTTCTCGGTCTCCCCCTTCTTTTCATCTTTCTTCCTCTCTGTCTCTTTCCGACTCTGTATCTCCTTCTCTCTCACTGACTCTGTCTCTATGTCTTTTTTCCTCTCTTTTTCCACCCTTATGTGTGCGTTTGTCTCACTCATACTCTTACTGCCTAATTTCTTTCTGCCTCTCTCCTTCTCTCTCAGTTTGTCTCTCTTCTTATCTGTCTGTCTCTGTCCCTCTCTCTCTCCTGTCTCTGTGTGGTAGTATAAAGAAACACAATAATTCATACAGTCCAAGTAATCATTTAATAGTTACAAAACTGCTTATGTTAGTCCTGTACCCTAGACCACTTCTCTTGCAAAGCAGGATGATGGTACCCGGAATGTTTGAGGTCTTAAACTTTGAAAAGACGGACAGGCAGACAAAAAGGCCAATATTCTCTATCTATGTTCGAGTACATTACCCTGAACTGACTCTCTTCTGCTTCTCAGGGGGAAACCTGTGGGATCTGGGGTGAGTGGGAGCTGGGAGGATCTGGTTTGGGGAGACTGGTGGGAGGAAGGGCTTTGGGGGGTGGGGGATTGGGAGAGGGTAGGGGAGGTGGGTGAGAGGGGGAGGGTAGTAGGGGTGGGTGAGAGGGGAGGGTGAGAGTGAGAGGGTTGGGAGGGTGAGAGGGGAGGGTTGGGGGGGTGAGAGGGGGAGGGTTGGGGGAGGGTTGGGGGAGCATTGGTGGAGGAGAGGCTTGGAGGGATGGGGGAAAAGGGGGGGTTTGGTGGCCAGATAACCGGGGAGGGCTTGGGGGGGTGGGGGGTATGTGAAGGCTGAGGTGGGTGAGGAGGAGGGGAGGGTTTAGCCGAGTGGTGTAGAGGGGATGATTTAGGTGGGGTATGGGGTTTAGGGGGGCGAGTGAGAACGGAGAGCTTGGGGATGGGAGAGATGGGAGAGCATGTGGGAGAAGGGAGGTCCTGGAGAGAGAAGTGAGTGGGAGGAGAAGGGTGGGTGGAGGGGATTTTGCCCTAGGTGGGTACTTAGTCCCCTAACTGACAGGGGATGGGGCAGGTAGGGTGTCTGTTGGGTAGAATGTGGGGGTGGTGCCCCACTCCCTGTGGCTGTTGCACTGTTTGAGGAGGGTTCCCCCACTCCCTTCTGGGATTGTAGGGTTCGGGGTTGTGGTTCTCTGATTCCTTTCTCTCTCCCTGCCTCCTTCCTCGCGTCTGCTGCATAGTTTCTCTCTTCCCTTGTCATATCCCTCTGCAGGAATACTTTTTTGAACTTCCTCTCCTGTCTCTGTGTGGTAGTATAAAGAAACACAATAATTCATACAGTCCAAGTAATCATTTAATAGTTACAAACTGACTTATGTTAGTCCTGTACCCTAGACCACTTCTCTTGCAAAGCAGGATGAGGGTACCCGGATGTTTGAGGTCTTAAACTTTGAAAAGACGGACAGGCAGACAAAAAGGCCAATATTCTCTTGAATATATATATTTAGTCTAACTTTAGCGTGACAGTGGCAAATATTATATAATATTTACCTGTGGTGTGTTCCTGTGGCCAATTTTCTGGTCAAGTGCTGCAGTCTCTCTATTTTCCTTCACACGTTTGCTAATGACGTCCTGTGTCCAATACCTTATAACACCAGCATCCTCAAGCCGAGACATTAGCTGGAGAAAACGTGGATATATCGGAGCGCCTTGTCTGTAAAAGGGTAAGATGCGTAATGCTTCGTTGAATATAATATTTGTTTTGAAACTAGTTCACTAGTTAAACTAGTGAATAAAATATAAATCGCCGAAAAGTTATTAATCAGAGCTGATTTAAAAACAAATGTTTTGTTGTTGCCATCTCTCTATACACTTCCTTCACCTTTCACCAGCACACTAACCCACTTTTAATTGTACAAGACGACCCATGAATCATTTTGGTTTGATTTGAAAGGTGGCATGAAGCCTATGCATAAATAAATCATATTAATGTAAATTATCAATGAGAAAGTCAGTAGGAGCAATGGGGGAGGATTTGAACCCCAGGTACACTCCACACAACGACACCACGACATGGTCAAAAGCATTGCAACCTGAGATTTGTCTGCATTCTCTAGGGTTCCTGAGGTTTCCTCTGAAGCCTAATCAGGGTTTCACACAATCAAGGTCTGGTGAGATATCAACCCCTCATATCTTTCTCTCGTCCTAACTCCTGAAGGATTTCCTCTCCAAGGTGTTTGGGAGAGAAAACACCAAACCTTGTGTTTGGCCTCCTGCTTCCTATGCTAATCATCATTACTTTGCACTAGCTCGAGTTAAACATTTATAACCATTTGTTGGACAATTCCTTTAGCCTTCCCAGGTCATCCTGTAGCCTCTTGCTGTCCTCCTCTGTCTTAGTCTTTCTCATAACTTTAGCATCATTAGCAAACATTGCGAGGAATGAGCTTATACCTTCTGGAAGATCATTCACGTATATCAGAAACAGGATAGGTCGGAATACAGAAACCTGTGGGACTCCGCTGGTGACATCACGCTAGTCTGAGGTCTCACTCCTCACAGCAACTCTCTGCTTCCTGTTGTTAAGGTACTCTCCTTTCCATGAGAACACCCTCCTATTTACTCCTGCTTGTTTCTCCAAATTATGCAACAGTCTCTTATGGGGGATACTGTGTCAAAAGCTTTCACACAGTACCGACAGTCAAAGAAAATGCAATCTGCCCATCTTTCTTTCTCTGTGTGTGTGTATGTGTACTCACCTATTTGTACTCACCTATGTATGCTTGTGCTTTGGCTCTTTGGTCCCGCCTCTCAACTGTCAATCAACTGGTGTACAGATTCCTGAGCCTACTATCATATCAACTCTATCATATCTACATTTGAAACTGTGTATGGAGTCAGCCTCCACCACATCACTGGCTAATGCATTCCATCCGTTAACTACTCTGACACTGAAAAAGTGGCTTCTAACGTCCCTGTGGCTCATGTGGGTACTCAGTTTCCACCTGTGTCCCCTTGTTCGTGTACCTCCAGTGTTGAATAGTTTATTCTAGTTTACCAGGTCGATTCCCCTGAAGATTTAATAGGTTGTGATCATGTCTCCCTGTACTCTTCTGTCTTCCAGTGTCGTAAGGTGCATTTCCCGCAGCCTTTTCTTGTAACTCATGCCTCTTAGTTCTGGGACTAGTCTAGTAGCATACCTTTGGACTTTTTCCAGCTTCGTCTTGTGCTTGACAAGTTACGGGCTCCATTCTGGGGCCACATACTCCAGGATTGGTCTTACATTTGTGGTGTACAAGATTCTGAATGATTTCTTACACAGGTTCCTGAACGCTGATCTGATGTTAGCCAGCCTCGCATATGCCGCAGACGTTATTCTTTTTATGTGGGCTTCAGGAGACAGGTTTGGTGTGATATCAACTCCTAGATCTTTCTCTCTGTTCGTTTCATAAAGTACTTCATCTCCTCTTCTGTCTCCTGTGTCTGGCCTCCTGTTTCCACTGCGTAGTTTCATTATTTTGCATTTACTCGGGTTGAACTTCAACAGCCATTTGTTGGACCATTCACTCAGTCTGTTTATGTCATCTTGTATCCTCCTACTATCATCCTCTGTTTCAATCCTCCTCATAATTTTTGCATCAGCAGCAAACAATGAGAGAAACGAGTCTATACCCTCTGGGAGATCATTTACATATACCAGAAACAGTATAGGTCGAAGGACTGACCCATACGGGACTCCACTTGTAACGTCTCGCCAATCTGAGACCTCACTCCTCACACTGACTCGTTGTCTCCTGTTGCTTAGGTACTTTTTTATCCAATGGAGTACCTTCCCTTTCACTCCAGCCTGCAACTCTAGCTTTTCACTAGCCTCTTGTGTGGTATTGTATCAAAGGCTTTCTGACAATCCAAAAATATGCAGTCTGCCCACCCTTCTCTTTCTTGCCGATTTTGTTGCCTTGTGGGAACCGACCTGTGAGATTTATATTTGTTTAATTTATATGAATTTATATTTACGTTAATTTATATACTTCGATAGCAATTTGTATAATGATAAGTGGACTGTATTTCTGCAATAATCTCATAATCTCACAAATCGATCCTCTACACATTAGGGGGGTTATTAAATTAATATATATGCAGCCAATCAAACTGCATAATTAACTACATACATTGAAGAGGTTCCTTATCTTATAGTACAGCAGGTTAGTCCACCAGGTATAACTAGGGTGTAGACACCAAATTATCCTCTTTGAGGTAGCTTCCATATCACCCAGTAACTGGTGCACAAATCTTGCTTCCTCGTCTTGACCTGTCAAAAGTGCGCTAGCTGTGAAGCCAGAATCCTATATATGACAAGTATATCAGAGAAAACACTATACAGTACATGGAACAATAAAGACCTGGCTTAATTACCTTTAGTTTGAGGCTTCCACGTGCTCTAACCGGGTCACCCTATATAATGACATTAATGGCCATAAATGAAGATACATGGGTTTCGGATAGACACTTAACTTGAATTTGTAGACAGCGTGTTGAAAATGGTACACCTTTGGTTTCCATAACACTACGTCCAAGTAAATTTAACAGGAGCCGAATTTGCTCCCGTGTGAGCCTCTGGTCTCAATATAAACAATGGCTGCCCTCCTTCCTCACTCTGACGCCTGGCTTACATTGTCCACATGTCAGAAAGTGATAGAAGGGTCACATTTACTCTACTTTAATATTGATAATTAAGTTAATTTATATAAGATGTTTTTATGATGGTAAAGTCCAAAGACTAAGGTATTTAAGAATAATTCCCAGCAGAATAGCTGGTGAATTTATAATGGTATGTGGTGATGATATCCCGTTTTCTATAGACGGTAATTCCACTACAAGTTACGTTTTCTATGGGTAACTTGTTTATACAACACAGCTATTATCTGTATGATATATTAAATGGTGTCGGATTTTCCGACACGACATCCCAGCAAACACAAATCATCTACACAACGTTCGCCTATCTCTTCCCATAGGTGTGGGAATGATTTGCATTGAGAATGGTGCAGGAGAGCCTTTGAGAAACTTTTACTCAAAAAATCCAAACCACAAAGGTTTAATTATAAATAGTTTTTCTACAATTATTTTCTTCCAAATGTAAAACAATAGTTTTTACATGTTTAAATATAAAATTTATGGTGTTTTTTGTTTAAAATTCATTAATAAATTGTGAATGATATATATTGGCTGAGTGAAACCTTTAAAATCCATTTAGTTATAATATGAACAGAAAAAAGTAGTTTTCCAAATTTTCTAAAAATCGCTCTTTTTAACACAATTTGACTCCTTATGCATTCCACTAAACACTAATATCATGTTTAAATATATAATTTATGTATTAATCCCTAAGATAATTTATATAAATTATAAAAGTTGCTGGAAAGTGGTGAGAAAGAATCTGAAAATGTTTTGTTGTCTTATATTGGCGTGTTCTTTATTAACTAGAGTGAGTAAGAGTGAGCGAGAGTGGGTAAGAGTGAGTAAGAGTGACTGAAGGTGAGTGAGAGTGCCAGAGAGTGTGTAAGTGTGAGTAAGAGTGAGTATAAGTAAGAGTGACTGAGAGTGAGTAAGAGTGACAGAGTGAGTAAGAGTGAGAGTAAGGGTGACAGAATGAGTAAGAGTGAGAGTAAAGTGATTGAGAGTAAGGGTGAGTATGAGAGTAAGAGTGATTGAGAGTTAGTGAGAGTAAGAGTGATTGAGAGTAAGAGTGATTGAGAGTAAGAGTGATTGAGAGTAAGAGTGATTGGGAGTAAGAGTGATTGAGAGTAAGAGTGATTGGGAGTAAGAGTGATTGGGAGTAAGAGTGAGAGTAAGAGTAAGAATGAGAATAAGAGTGATTGAGAGTAAGAGTGATTGGGAGTAAGAGTAAGAATGAGAGTAGGAGTGATTGAGAGTAGGAGTGATTGGGAGTAGGAGTGATTGGAGTAAGAGTGATTGAGAGTAAGAGTAATTGAGAGTAAGAGTATGAGAGTAAGAGTGAGAGAGTGAGTATGAATGGGTAAGGGTGACTGAGAGTGAGTAAGAGTGACAGAGTAAGAATGACAGAGTAAGAGTGACAGAGAGTAAGAGTGACAGAGAGTAAGAGTGACAGAGAGTAAGAGTGACAGAGAGTAAGAGTGACAGAGAGTAAGAGTGACAGAGAGTAAGAGTGACAGAGAGTAAGAGTGACAGAGTAAGAGTGAGTATGAGAGTGAGTAAGGATGACTGAGAGAAAGAGTGAGTAATAGTGCGTAAGAGTGATTGAGAGTTAGAGTGAGAGTAAGAGTGATTGAGAGTTAGTGAGAGTAAGAGTGATTGAGAGTAAGAGTGATTGAGAGTAAAAAGTGATTGAGAGTAAGAGTGATTGAGAGTAAGAGTGATTGGGAGTAAGAGTGATTGAGAGTAAGAGTGATTGGGAGTAAGAGTGATTGGGAGTAAGAGTGATTGGGAGGAGTAAGAATGAGAATAAGAGTGATGAGAGTAAGAGTGAGAAAAGAGTAAGAATGAGAGTAAGAGTGATTGAGAGTAAGAGTGATTGAGAGTAAGAGTGATTGGGAGTAAGAGTGATTGAGAGTAAGAGTGATTGGGAGTAAGAGTGATTGGGAGTAGGAGTAAGAATGAGAATAAGAGTGATTGAGAGTAAGAGTGAGTAAGAGTAAGAATGAGAGTAAGAGTGATTGAGAGTAAGAGTGA